TACATATCAATTTTAAGCTGTTTTCAGCAACAGAAAGCCTCATTTTTATTTCATTTTACAGAAATTCTGATTCCTAACAATTGAAGGAATTTTAACCATTAGATTGTCAGAGTACAAATGAAACAGTCATCTTGATCAACTTCATCTACAAGAGAGAATTTACTAGTCAAGAAATTTCTATTAATAATCGAAAAAACATACCCATTCTAACGTTGGAAACTATGCACCATAAATATTTGTTTATTTAAACTAAACAATGAATATTTATGGACAGCTAGATTTTTTCCTCCCCAATTAAAGTAGTCGGTAAATAAACTAGCTATAAGTAATACGTAAGTGTTGATCAAACTGAAAAAGATGGTTAAAATGTTTGGTAAACTAAAAAAAATTTTTAAAATACTCTCAGTAGGAAGTCTGCATTACGATATCTTTTTACAGAGATGTTGCAGGATTAGAAAGTATTTATCTTAGTTGAAATACATTAAAAATTAACGTGTCATTTTAAAAGTTTCATTCTGTGGTTATTATGTGTATTTAGAGACTCAAATTAAGAATTTTAGGATGATAAAGTTTTGTTAGCAGGGATTGTACTGTCGTATGAAATTTCAACTTTCAAACAGTCAGTTAGGCCTTTCTGAATTTAATAATTCAGCTATTTACCTTATTATCTGAATCTTCTAACCAGTAATAATACTTCATATTGGTCGATTCACCTGTTCATTTAATTTTAGTGAATCACAGTAAAATGAAGGTAAGTTGACTACTCAGTTTAGTTAAACGACTATTATGTTCAGTTACTAGTGGAACCGATATTAAACACTGAAAGATTTTTTATATTTTATCCTATGTGAGTTGATCCAGAAAACCATAGTTAAATTCTCTGTATTTTAACAACATTTCTCTTGAATAACATTTTATGTATATTCAACCAAATTTGGGGAAAAAATTGTTTGTAATTGAATCAGTATTATTTTTTTATAGCCTTATAAATATATGGCGTCAGTTTATATTTAAACAAAGAAATCTTGTGTAACGTTTATATATGAAAGTATTTATGAAACTGATAAATAACTAGATGATTCTTTGAAATATATTTCTGCATTTTATTCACATTTTTCTCTTTAGAATATTTTGATTACAACACTGTAGCATAAATAGCTAAACATGTAATAGCTGACGCCAATTATCAATGACTATTTACTGAAGGCTACATTCAGTATAAATGAAATCATCCGAGTATAGCCAAGTGTTCACATTCGCCTCATTGCTTTGTTTAATTCAACAAAATATGATAACGGCAACAGATTAGCTTATTTCTCTAAAACATTATAACACAATCTTGTAAAATTTATGATGATTCCGAATTGAAATTAGATACTTGAGTATTGTCATTGTACATAAGTGTAGATTATTTATTTAAAAAATTTGAAATGTTAACTTGCTTGTTTTTTTTCTGTGAAAATCCGCTTATATATATGGTAAATTTCTCATTTGGAGTGAGTAACATTTATTTATGACAATGAAAAAGTCTTTCAATAGACATGTAATTGATTTTAGGGACATAGGATTAGTAAAGTAGGTTGCTCAATTCTGTTATCACTCATAATCACTGTTCAGTAAATAACGAACAGTGTTTTACTATTTAATTTTTAATATTGACCAATTAAGCTTGTTAAGTGGCCACTTGAATTAGAAATATGGCATCACTATGAACAGCTAACTAGTCATTTTACAAAAGACAATTGTGTTAGTTGAATATCGTTCAGTCACTAAGAATGCTTTCAAGCGGTTTTTAAACATTTTTTGCCTCAAGATTTCAACCGAATCTCATCATTTAACATCTTCTGCTTTTTTTTAACTCGTAAGTTAGGAGATTACGGTAGTTTAATTAATATCTAATAAAACTTAAATAAAAAGTTTTTGAAATGAAAAAAAATTACGACAAAATAATCTTTGTCGAATTTGTCACGTCAACTTTAAATTATGGAAATATGGACTAAAAAATTTTATTAGTAAAATTTAGTGTTATCCTTGCAAAGAAATTAATTATTCATTCTTATCATTATTATCATCATTAGCATCAGTAGCCACATCATTCAAATAGAAATTTATCATTGAAAACAGCAAAATTTTTAAAATTATATTTCTAAATAATCATAAATGTTTGAATATAAACTAGACTTGGCAGATTTTATTGAAATAGAAAGTAGAAAAGATTTGAAATAACTGTCAAATTATGTACACGAAAAATTTCCACTGTAGAAAAATAAATTATTTTTGCAGAAAAAAAAAAAAGATTTCAGTAAATTATTTTCAAATAAACAAAGAAAACTAGATTTTGAAGTAATTAATTGTTGCAGGAAAAATAAAATAAAATTATTTGACTGTATCAGTGAATCAATCTGAAAGAAATATTTTATTGGAAAAGGAAAATATTAATTTTTCGCATATAAATGATATTTAATATTGAAGGCAGTGAACAGTTTTTTTTCCCCACATAAAAATCATATTACAAAGTTACTGAATCAATTTTGATGAAAGTTATTTTTTTTTACGTCAATGCTATTTAGTAAAAATATGGATGGATCTCAAACAAGTGTCTATATACTATACATATGAAGTGGATTTAAATAAAAACCATTGAACATAAGCACTCTCTTGGTTAAAACAAGTAAATCGAAATAATGACTGAAGAGGAATATTGGAAAGAGCCAAAATCTATGGGGTAACTGACAGTGAGTTTAAGGTGTTCGAAATTGATTAGTTAAAAACTCGCATGATTTACTGGATCAAGTAGACTGACCTAATCGATGTGATGATCTTAAGATTTTCTTTCTGTTTAGCATATTATTTCTCATCGATCTGGGCGCGTCACATTCAATTTTTAATTTATGCACATCAAAACTTTTACCATAGGCGTTCATGAAGTTGAATGATAAATGACAAGTTTATAAAAATCCCCATTCGCTCCATAAAAAAATGTTTTTACTACTACTTTTATATAAGATTGGATGATGTCCTACAGGTAACTGGTATCACCTTCGATTGTTAATGATTAGTTGAGCTTCATCTTTTGAAAATCGAAGTTTATATAATAATTGAAGTGACTTGAGATTACTAAGCAGTTTATACAACGTTAAATGTCGATTATACCGTCAGAAGAGTATAACCCATGCTGAGGTTTCATACACGAATTTCATGTTTGTGATTTTCCACGAAACACGCAGTTAGAAATTTTTGTTGGTTATTCATAACTAATTTATGGTTTTTTGAAGTTGTGTTGATCTTGTGAAATTATGTGCGCAAATAGGATGACGATGGGGATTTATAAAGTGTTAGACTGAAAAGCTTACAACAATGTATACCCTAGTCTTCAGAATTACAGTAGTGTGTTCGTTTACTTACAATTGTAAAGTATTTTCAGTTAGAGCTTTGGAGATTTGTGTTTTCACACATTTGAAATCATCAACCAATCATTGTTAGACCACCATTAGAAACCTAGAAGCACTGGACGGCCGTTTCGTCCTGGTATGCGACTCCGAATCAGTGCGCATCCACGACTCCTGCACCTCGCAGGATTCGAACCCGGGACCTTCGGTATTGTGTGCAAACTCCTAACCATCGGACCACTGAGCCGGCATCCAACGCTGCTAATCGTTTAGCTGTTGAAGTAAACGAAACGGAAGTTATTTAATTTATTACTGCTTCTTTCAGTTTTATACACCAATGAATCTTTGTTTCTTTTTGTAATCCTATGATTTCGCTCATTTTGTGAAAACCAAAATTTTGAATAAAGAATAAAAACTCTCAATTTCTGTTTATCTGTAAGTAACATTAAATCCCTATGGAAGTAGAAGCCAATGTTAATTAGATGTATCATTCAAGTTGACAAGTTTTGTTTCGGGGCAAGCATATCAATTTAAACCAAGTGCAAGAAAAAATTTAAGGAAATAATTTTAATCAGTTGTAAAACATTTTATTTGGTCTACTATTTCTCCTGTGCTTTTTAATTTTTAAAAATACCACTTCTGTCAAAAATTGCTTGTACGTATTGCATCACTATTTCTAAAGCATAGTAACAGTAAAAATTACATTCAACAAGCTTATAGGATTTTTGACTGTTGATTAACACAGTTAGAGAGCTAGAAATTTTAGTAGTTTATAGGGATCCATTGTCTGACTCGTATTTGCACTAACAATTGAATATGCTATGAAATAAATCTTTCACCTAATTTCCTTGTACCATTCATAGGAGAATTCCATGTGTGTGATGGCTGTAATAAGTAGACAAATACGGTTTCGCGGATGAATTTATTGAATACATTCAAGTAAGGGGAGAGAAAATAAAGAGAGTTGTAAAATCCTAGTGAAGTAGAGTGAAACACAGAAGGCGAGTGGGCCAACTCCATTGATCAGGCATGATTAAGTATCTGTAGTCAGACAGTAATAAGCTAGAAATTTGGTAAGCGAATTAAGCAATCCTCATAGACAAATAAAGCCAACCATGATTAAAAACGAATAATTGACTAGGTCAAAAACGTGGGAATAAAAACTGGAGAACTAGTTGATCTTCCATAAGATTGGTACAAGACATATGAGTACACACTACAAGTTGTAACTAATCCGCGTTTGAAACTTTCGCCATTCGAATTCAACACTCAAAACATATCTTACTATCTATGAGAGATCAAGATTCTTGGTTTCAATTAGTATCGCTTGTAGCAGTACATTTCATAAGATGCTCTGACTAGAAAACAACAACTTTCCATTCATGAAGAAATCAAATATATATATATATAAATATATATATATATATATATATATATATATTCCCAATCCTTCAAGACACAGATTATTATCAGTAAATAATTTATTACAATTTTACTTAGTTATAAAAGCTTTTTGCCATTAAATCACAACTGACTATATATATACATTTAGTTAAGGACAGGTCAAGCGTAAAAACAAAAATAATTAACAGTTTATTGTTGGCAACATACATTGTTTTGTTTGGCATTTTTTTTTGTGCGCTCTTCAACTTCTTGTTACCCTGATAACATGTTACATTGAAATTTTTTCTGTAGTAAAAAAAAAAATAAATCAGATAAGAATCTTGTCGGATTATCTGTTTTTATTTGTTTTTCTATTTGTTTTTTATTTTTTCAATCTACTGGGCTATTTATTATTACTGTGCAATTTTAATTTACTTATCGACGACTTGAACTAATATGGTTGATGATGGTTAACCACTCAATGGAAATTAAGTAAATTCTACGGAAGTGTGTGTGTGTGCGTGCACATGTGTGCGTTTGTGTGAACCTGTGTACATATGCAGTAAGCAAAGAAAATGTATACCTGCAATCTGAACAGTAACAACATTAAAAGTAATAATGGTGATAATCTTATTCGTATAGAAAAAAAAAACGTTCTTTGACTATATAACGCTGGTATCATAAATTATGAATTTTAATCTTAGATTTGCGTTGATGTTCCTACGGACAATATTACACTCAAAAAAATAAGAGATTTACCATAATAAAATGTAATGGTTGTCAAATGCGTATATTTGCATTCCTGTATTGTTCTGTGTACAGCGAAGATTGTCGCAGGTATATATTTGTATATATACATATATATATATATATATATATATATATATATATATATATATATATATATATATATATATATATATATATATATATATATATATACTGAATAGTAAATCTAACGATGTAATCAACCGAGTAACAAAGCAAACCTTTAAAAAAACTATGCGGCGAAATTGCCTTTTTTTATATATATTTCACGCATACTGATACTAATAAGTGCACATATGGCCATTAGTGTGTTGCCTTAGAATAATCAGCTAATGCATTTTTGTATAAATATCAATAGATTAAATGGCAGATAATTAAATTTACACGACAGATTTATCACTTTGTGCAAAATTGAATATCCAAAGATAATAAATAATGCTAGAAGATTGTTTCAGCTTATAAAAATAAACACACATTGTATGTGTGCATCTTCTGTATGTGCAAATGGGGGTGGCTATATGTTTTCATATACTAGTAGTGTTGAAGAATGGCTATGTATTTACATAAGCATTGAATAACTTGAACCTTTCGTTATATCATTGATATTGATTTACAGATGTATTTATCAAGATTCACACATTTTAAAATAAATCAGGTTGAGAAATGAAGATACTGATCAATGTTAAAGTTATGAATAAAAATTTGTCTGATATTGTTCTAATAAAGTCGGCAATATTGATTTATTACGTTAGTGATCATAGTGATGCTCGGGTTAATAAATTTTGCCATGGCGTTACGTTTTCAAAATTTTAAAATGTCACTTTCACCAAAACTAAATGATGTGCAGATATATTAGAATGCAAGATTTGTGTCTTGTAATCCAGCAGTGAATATTTCGGTAGTATTTACGCAAATAATGGTCACCATACCCACAGCATGGTAGACGTTTTGCTTTCACAATCTTTTCCTCTTCTTATATTGTCACAAGGTATCCGGATTTCCTGTTAGATCGAGCAAGCTGGTGAACAAAAGTCTTTAAATTTTAAATTTTCAGATTTCTGTCAAACATGCGTGACTGGAACTTAGCGAACAGTTTACTCTAATGTATGCGGTCAAAGCAAGTTTTTTGTTACAAAGCTAATCAAGCTCATACTGCTAAATAAATAAAAGCATTCTCAGAAATGCCACCGGTATTTCGTATTTATAAATTTACTTTCAAAATTAGAATGCTTTATATTTTTTTTGTAGATAGGTTTGACTTTTGAAAACTGAGTAAATTCAACACTTTCCCATTATTCGCCCATTATCTGGCAAATAGCGGAGCAAAGTGGAACAGTTTCCCATTAACTGAACCAGTGTCGACATTGTCCAATTATACCGTTACTTTAGCAGTTCTTTTTTTTTCTAGGTCAGCCTAAATTTTCTAATCATGTATGTATCAACAGTGGTAATGTAGACGACAAATTAATGTTTTCTTTTCAATAGATTCATATTTTAGGAGCCTAACTATTTCAGTGTTTGTTTTTACTCATTACGATTGTTTGTTTTGTTTTTGTTTTTTTTACTTCATTTAACAGTCATTGAAAATTTGTATTGCTTCAGTATGAATTTGTTTTGTGCACAATAATTATTTGAATCACACAGAAAAGTATAATTACAGGCTAACACAGAGAAATGATTTTTTGCATGTCTATACATATAATATGTATGTTAGTATCATTAGTGAGAAGACAGAGATTAGTTTCGGTTGATAGCTAGCTGTAGTAGTTGTGTTGAAAATAATTATATGCTTTGAAAATTTTTTATGTTCACTGTTAATCTTTATAGCTGATTATTTGTGCAATGATACTTTGTGTTTAGGAAATTATCTACTGACAGTTTTACCATTTAAATTTAAATAATAATTACAGCTCATAAAACAATCTTCTTATCAAATGTTAATAATCATTATTTTAATGGTTAGATAATACTAGAGAGTCGATGAGACACTTCTCATGAGTTATGATTAAAAAGTCATGAAATATTGACTAGTTTTTGAACGTTTAAGTAAATAAACTTGAATTAAATATTATGGGCTTATCGATGAATTCTAATGAAATGAAGGTAATAAATAGTGGTCATTTGTTTGTTCTACTTTAAAAAATTCTCTACTGAAATGAAGTCATCATTCTCTGTTAAACTATAAATATTGATTTTAGTTTGTGAAATAACTTTCTAGCCACTGGGTTTACTTGGTTTTTATTGTCAGTCACATACATGGTAAATACCCAGGAAACAATTATGTTTGATTTATAGCTAACATATAATTTAGTTCACATGAGAAAACAAGCTTGCCAAATATGAAATTATCAGATGATCTTAATATAAATTTCAAGAATCTAGGTCAATGAAAAGTGACCCAATAGTTCAAAGGTTAATGTGTGTTTTTAAAAAAAAAAAATTGCTGGTCAAAAATTTGACGTAAATACAGTTACAAAATAAGATAAATGTTATTATTCATTTTTAATGATGCTAGATATCACTTACTGAGAAAGCTTTGAAAAAAATCAAATATCTTGATGAAGATCTTTCCAGTGGTAATCAGCTCATGTACTGCAGTTAAGTAATGGTCACTCGATACTTGGCAATATGTGGTAGTAACGGTTTATAAAATATCTGATTTTATCATTCACTTTACATTTTTTTAATAGATATCCTAGAATGAAACTAGGCAATGCAATAGGAAGTCAAACACTAAAGGTCTTTTACTACCGTACACTCAAATGAACTGTACACTACTCATTTCTTTGTAATCAGAGAATAACGTTTATGTCAGTTAAAATTCAAATGGTCAGTAATCGTTTTTAAATGAATGATTACAGAAATTAAAGAGGTAAATCGAAACTATTATTATGATTGTGTGATACGTTATTTATTGTGATGGTGTTTTGTTCTCTGAGCTAGATATTTTGGTTGTGGAGCTTTCCTTGTTTTTCCGAACAATATCATCAGCATAAAGTTTGTGCTGAGACAAAAATTTTATCTACCATATCAAAATACAGTATTTATGTATAACAGTGAGACGATATGTTGAAAATCATGTCAGTCAGTATTTACAATATCGATCAGCATTCCTATTTGTTAGTTGTTATCCTATCCATACCTGGAAGGACTTGTTTACACTATTATATCTAAAAAATATCATAAAATACCAGTTTTATATATATATATATATATATATATACTAATGCTAAATACGCTGCACTTTGTTGTCCTGTCATAAAAGCAGAAATAATGATAATACTTATTCATCAATCAGTGTACGCATTTTTTGCATTAAGGCAGTAAACAGTACACAGCTTTAACAGAGTAAAATGAAGAATTACAGACAGGTACATTTCGATGCTAAATAGAATATAATTATTATTTTATTTATAATGAGAATATTTCATTATAATTCGATAAATATTCATGATTATTATCGGTACTGCTCTATTAGAAATAATTGTTTTGGTTTAATGATAATATTATTGAATATTCTAAATTAGTTATCTCAATCAAATATATATATATATATATCATTTGGGAAGTTGAAAGTTTTCGTATCAGCATGTTTTTATGTATGCAGAAAAGGCAACAACCATTCTTACACTAATTTTTATTCCTCATCAAAATCTCATATTTTAGCTAGCATTAATTTAATAATTGGTGAGGGGATAAAATCTAGTTGATAATGAATAAGATATTATTTCTCTACTAGTGATCATTTTCTGTAAACTATTAGTATTTATTCACTTACTTAAATATAAAATTATTTGCACAGAGACACCGAAATATCATCTATGCACAACACAAATCATTGAATTTGTACATGGGTTTGCATACTGCTCAGATGCCCAAACAGAAGTAGGTTGTTTTCTTAAAAGGCTAGTTCTAGATCCTATGACATAATCCATAAGGCAGAGGAGCAAAAATTAGGAGATGCTCTCCGATGGTAGGCTATGACCAAAAATAGGTGCATATGCCATTTCTTTCATCAGGATTCCGGAGCCTATGTACACCTTTGTTTGGAATCAAGGTTTCCTAAGTCCTCTAGATGAGACCTCTATGACCACCAGCCATGTTTAGGCGTCTGATGGAAGTTCACTATTTATCCTCTCGACACCTCCACCAGGTGGTGAGCAGGATTTCTTTGACAGTGGCTATATACGCGTAACCATATGAAAGCACTTCCTGGCGAGGGATGAACTCACCCTACTTTGGGACATACCGAGGAATTTTGAAGCTTAACAAATGGAACGAATAAAATGGAAGTACATCATATATTTCTGCAAAGGTTACATCTCATTACCAGATAATGCATCACATCATTCGATCAATAAAATCCATTCACCATTGGTATGTTATCAGTGAAAGACGTTTCAATTAGATCGCCGCTTTAAGATATCTAAGCAAGTATAGAATGATGCTAATCAAGTTTTTACAGTCAGTTGTATTTCAACGATGACAAGGGAATCTACGAAAACCGCTCATTATTTGAAATAGTGAAAATTTTATGG